ACGGGGTAGACGCCCCTACACCAGGGGGTCACACCCCCTACACCAGGGGGTCACGCCCCTACACCAGGGGGTCACGGCCCTACACCAGGGGGTCACGGCCCTACACCAGGGGGTCACGCCCCTACACCAGGGGGTCACGGCCCTACACCAGGGGGTAGACGCCCCCTGACGCCCATCACCCAACACTGCCATATTTAGTCCCCAAATAAGAAACCTTAAACAATATGAAAGAGGCGAGGGTGAGTATTTTGAGCCTCGCCAAGTAGAGCTAACCCCCACACCTGCCCCCACACCTGCCCCCACACCTGCCCCCACACCTGCCCCCACACCTGCCCCCACACCTGCCCCCACACCTGCCCCCACACCTGCCCCCACACCTGCCCCCACACCTGCCCCCACACCAGCCCCCACACCAGCCCCCACACCAGCCCCCACACCAGCCCCCACACCAGCCCCCACACCAGCCCCCACACCAGCCCCCACACCTGCCCCCACACCAGCCCCCACACCAGCCCCCACACCAGCCCCCACACCAGCCCCCACACCTGCCCCCACACCTGCCCCCACACCAGCCCCCACACCTGCCCCCACACCTGCCCCCACACCAGCCCCCACACCAGCCCCCACACCTGCCCCCACACCAGCCCCCACACCAGCCCCCACACCTGCCCCCACACCCCCAGCCCCCACACACCTGCCCCCACACCTGCCCCCACACCAGCCCCCACACCAGCCCCCACACCAGCCCCCACACCTGCCCCCACACCTGCCCCCACACCTGCCCCCACACCAGCCCCCACACCTGCCCCCACACCTGCCCCCACACCACACCTGCCCCCACACCTGCCCCCACACCTGCCCCCACACCTGCCCCCACACCTGCCCCCACACCTGCCCCCACACCTGCCCCCACACCTGCCCCCACACCAGCCCTTACACCAGCCCCCACACCTGCCCCCACACCTGCCCCCACACCTGCCCCCACACCTGCCCCCACACCAGCCCTTACACCAGCCCCCACACCTGCCCCCACATCAGCCCCCACACCTGCCCCCACACCAGCCCCCACACCTGCCCCCACACCTGCCCCCACACCTGCCCCCACACCTGCCCCCACACCTGCCCCCACACCTGCCCCCACACCTGCCCCCACACCTGCCCCCACACCTGCCCCCACACCTGCCCCCACACCTGCCCCCACACCAGCCCCCACACCTGCCCCCACACCTGCCCCCACACCTGCCCCCACACCAGCCCTTACACCTGCCCCCACACCAGCCCTTACACCAGCCCCCACACCTGCCCCCACATCAGCCCCCACACCTGCCCCCACACCAGCCCCCACACCTGCCCCCACACCTGCCCCCACACCTGCCCCCACACCTGCCCCCACATCAGCCCCCACACCTGCCCCCACACCAGCCCCCACACCTGCCCCCACACCTGCCCCCACACCTGCCCCCACACCTGCCCCCACACCTGCCCCCACACCAGCCCCCACACCTGCCCCCACACCTGCCCCCACACCTGCCCCCACACCTGCCCCCACACCTGCCCCCACATCAGCCCCCACACCTGCCCCCACACCAGCCCCCACACCTGCCCCCACACCTGCCCCCACACCTGCCCCCACACCTGCCCCCACACCTGCCCCCACACCTGCCCCCACACCTGCCCCCACACCTGCCCCCACACCAGCCCTTACACCAGCCCCCACACCAGCCCCCACACCTGCCCCCACACCTGCCCCCACACCAGCCCTTACACCAGCCCCCACACCAGCCCTTACACCAGCCCCCACACCTGCCCCCACACCTGCCCCCACACCAGCCCTTACACCAGCCCCCACACCTGCCCCCACACCAGCCCCCACACCTGCCCCCACACCTGCCCCCACACCAGCCCCCACACCTGCCCCCACACCTGCCCCCACACCTGCCCCCACACCTGCCCCCACACCTGCCCCCACACCTGCCCCCACACCTGCCCCCACACCAGCCCCCACACCTGCCCCCACACCAGCCCCCACACCTGCCCCCACACCTGCCCCCACACCTGCCCCCACACCTGCCCCCACACCAGCCCTTACACCAGCCCCCACACCTGCCCCCACATCAGCCCCCACACCTGCCCCCACACCAGCCCCCACACCTGCCCCCACACCTGCCCCCACACCTGCCCCCACACCTGCCCCCACACCTGCCCCCACACCTGCCCCCACACCTGCCCCCACACCTGCCCCCACACCTGCCCCCACACCTGCCCCCACACCTGCCCCCACACCTGCCCCCACACCTGCCCCCACACCAGCCCTTACACCTGCCCCCACACCAGCCCTTACACCAGCCCCCACACCTGCCCCCACATCAGCCCCCACACCTGCCCCCACACCTGCCCCCACACCTGCCCCCACACCTGCCCCCACACCTGCCCCCACACCTGCCCCCACACCTGCCCCCACACCTGCCCCCACACCTGCCCCCACACCAGCCCTTACACCAGCCCCCACACCTGCCCCCACACCTGCCCCCACACCTGCCCCCACACCTGCCCCCACACCTGCCCCCACACCTGCCCCCACACCTGCCCCCACACCTGCCCCCACACCAGCCCCCACACCTGCCCCCACACCTGCCCCCACACCTGCCCCCACACCTGCCCCCACACCTGCCCCCACACCTGCCCCCACATCAGCCCCCACACCTGCCCCCACACCTGCCCCCACACCTGCCCCCACACCAGCCCTTACACCAGCCCCCACACCAGCCCCCACACCTGCCCCCACACCTGCCCCCACACCTGCCCCCACACCTGCCCCCACACCTGCCCCCACACCTGCCCCCACACCAGCCCCCACACCTGCCCCCACACCTGCCCCCACACCTGCCCCCACACCTGCCCCCACACCTGCCCCCACACCTGCCCCCACACCTGCCCCCACACCAGCCCTTACACCAGCCCCCACACCAGCCCCCACACCTGCCCCCACACCTGCCCCCACACCAGCCCTTACACCAGCCCCCACACCAGCCCTTACACCAGCCCCCACACCTGCCCCCACACCTGCCCCCACACCAGCCCTTACACCAGCCCCCACACCTGCCCCCACACCAGCCCCCACACCAGCCCTTACACCAGCCCCCACACCTGCCCCCACACCTGCCCCCACACCAGCCCTTACACCAGCCCCCACACCTGCCCCCACACCTGCCCCCACACCTGCCCCCACACCTGCCCCCACACCAGCCCTTACACCAGCCCCCACACCTGCCCCCACACCTGCCCCACACCAGCCCTTACACCAGCCCCCACACCTGCCCCCACACCAGCCCCCACACCTGCCGCCACACCTGCCCCCACACCAGCCCCCACACCTGCCCCCACACCTGCCCCCACACCAGCCCTTACACCAGCCCCCACACCTGCCCCCACATCAGCCCCCACACCTGCCCCCACATCAGCCCCCACACCAGCCCCCACACCTGCCCCCACACCTGCCCCCACATCAGCCCCTACACCAGCCCCCACACCAGCCCCCACACCTGCCCCCACATCAGCCCCCACACCAGCCCCCACACCAGCCCCCACACCAGCCCCCACACCAGCCCCCACACCAGCCCCCACATCAGCCCCCACACCAGCCCCCACATCAGCCCCCACACCAGACCAGCCCCCACACCAGACCAGCCCCCACACCAGCCCCCACACCTGCCCCCACACCTGCCCCCACACCACACTAGCACCCACACCAGACCAGCCCCCACACCACACCAGCCCCCACACCACACTAGCCCCCACACCAGACCAGCCCCCACACCACACCAGCCCCCACACCACACCAGCCCCCACATTAGACCAGCCCCCACACCACACCAGCCCCCACACCACACCAGCCCCCACATTAGACCAGCCCCCACACCACACCAGCCCCCACACTAGATGAACTCCCACACTACACCAGCCCCCACACCAGACCAGCCCCCACACCAGACAAGCCCCTACACCAGCCCAGCCCCCACACCAGCCCACCACACCAGCCCACCACACCAGCCCCCCATACCTGCCCCCACACCAGCCCCCACACCACACTAGCCCCCACACCAGACCAGCCCCCACACCACACCAGCCCCCACACCACACCAGCCCCACACTAGACCAGCCCCCACACCACACCAGCCCCCACACCACACCAGCCCCCACACCACACCAGCCCCCACACCAGACCAGCCCCCACACCAGTCCAGCCCCCGAAAACGTGCTCAACCGTTTCTGTCCTCTCCGGGATTGGAACTCTAGATTCCTGATTGTGAATTGAGAACGAATCCCAGTTGTACTACAGAGCCCCCCCCCCCCTAGTCCGCTCCACTTGAATCTCCTATGGTGTTGTGCTAACCTGTTCCCCTCACACCATTATATACACCACTTACACTCAATGTGTATTTTCTCACACTAATATTATTGTTTTCAGTCAGGATAAGCGTAACCAGTGATAATAATAATAATAATAATAATAATAATAATAATAATAATAATAATAATAATAATAATAATAATTAAAAGAAGGGGTGAATGTACAATGCAGATAATGTGGGTCCCGGTATTACAGTCGGGTTCGTCCTCGATTCACAATGGTTCGAATCCCGGGCGAGACAGACATGGTTCGGCGCATTTCCTATCACCAAATGCATTTGTTCATTTCGGAGTAAGTTGGTACTCAGGAGTTAGTCAGCTTGTTGAGGGGTTACATCCTGGGCGGGGGTCAGTAATTCGACCTTGGGGGAAGGGAGGGGACCTCGATATAAGCCTAACGTGTATGAATACACTCTGGCTGCCTGTCCCCCAACACAATGAATTATTATTATTATTATATATGGAATGATTTCATTTTGTACAAGTCTGCCCCACAGTTGCCGCTACATGCTTAGAAAACGGAGGTAAAAGTCACATTTACAGAAAATGAAGCACAACTATTCTACATGGGGATACTTCAGTAATCTTACCTTTGAAGTTTCCAGTGTATCGAGCATTATTAAGATCCTGAAGCAAAGTATCAAGCTCGGATAGGTTGTTGTTGAGGGAGGACTTCTTGCCTCCACCAGACGACCTCTGTTGCTCGGTCCGCACCTCCTCTACCCTCTCTTGGTGGTACATCTGTCAAGAAGAGATCGTGCTGCTTAATACAATGATAATACCGGATTATATCGCAATGAAATTTCTGAAGACATTTTAAATGAAGAAACATTAAAAGAACTAATATTTCGTCTTGTTGGGGACAGAAAACCTGTCTATATACATATCTGTACATAGGCAGGCTTCCTGTATATATGTATGTATGTATGTATGTATGTATGTATGTATGTATGTATGTATGTATGTATGTATGTATGTATGTATGTATGTATACACGCAGGTCGACCATGGCAGGACCTAGATAGACTTGTAAGATCCCCAGCAAAGGACGAACTACTGACCCTTCCCAGGACTACTGACCCTCCCCCAGGACTACTGACCCTCCCCAGGACTACTGACCCTTCCCCAGGACTACTGACCCTCCCCAGGACTACTGACCCTCCCCAGGACTACTGACCCTCCCCAGGACTACTGACCCTCCCCTGGACTACCGACCCTCCCCAGGACTACTGGCCCTCCCCAGGACTACTGACCCTCCCCTGGACTACTGACCCTCCCCAGGACTATTGACCCTCCCCAGGACTACTGACCCTTCCCCAGGACTACTGGCCCTTCCCCAGGACTACTGACCCTCCCCAGGACTACTGACCCTCCCCTGGACTACTGACCCTCCCCTGGACTACCGACCCTCCCCAGGACTACTGGCCCTCCCCAGGACTACTGACCCTTCCCCAGGACTACTGACCCTCCCCAGGACTACTGACCCTCCCCAGGACTACTGACCCTCCCCAGGACTACTGACCCTTCCCCAGGACTACTGACCCTCCCCAGGACTACTGACCCTCCCAGGACTACTGACCCTCCCCAGGACTACTGACCCTCCCCAGGACTACTGACCCCCCCCCCAGGACTACTGACCCTCCCCAGGACTACTGGCCCTCCCCAGGACTACTGACCCTCCCCAGGACTACTGACCCTCCCAGGACTATTGACCCTCCCCAGGACTACTGACCCCCCCAGGACTACTGACCCTCCCCAGGACTACTGACCCCCCCCAGGACTACTGACCCTCCCCAGGACTAGTGACCCTCCCCAGGACTACTGACCCTCCCCAGGACTACTGACCCTCCCCAGGACTACTGGCCCCCCCAGGACTACTGACCCTCCCCAGGACTACTAGCCCCCCCCCAGGACTACTGACCCCCTCCAGGACTACTGACCCCCCCCAGGACTACTGACCCTCCCCAGGACTACTGGCCCTCCCCAGGACTACTGACCCTCCCCTGGACTATTGACCCTCCCCAGGACTACTGACCCTCCCCAGGACTACTGACCCTCCCCTGGACTACTGACCCTCCCCAGGACTACTGACCCTCCCCAGGACTACTGACCCTCCCCAGGACTACTGACCCTCCCCTAGGACTACTGACCCTCCCCAGGACTACTGACCCTCCCCAGGACTATTGACCCTCCCCAGGACTACTGACCCTCCCCAGGACTACTGACCCTCCCCTGGACTATTGACCCTCCCCTGGACTACTTACCCTCCCCAGTACTACTGACCCTCCCCTGGACTATTGACCCTCCCCTGGACTACTTACCCTCCCCAGGACTACTGACCCTCCCCCAGGACTACTGACCCTCCCCTAGGACTACTGACATCAACATCAGGATCAACACATTCAAACTATATATTATTATTACTCATAACATCTACATCGTAAACAAGCTGTAGGAAATAATAATAATAAAAATAATAATAATAATAATAATAATAATAATAATAATAATAATAATAATAATAATAATTTACTTGCACGAGATACCATAAATATTACCAATAAAACACATGAGAATAGTTTTTTCTGAAGGCGTTAACATTGAGGACCCAGCTGAGGGCCGTATATACACTGAGAGGTGTACCCTGCTTCCCAGTGTGTGTACACAAAGTTTACTTTGATCTTTGACAATGTTCAGGACTAAAGTATTTTTGCTGGTTGGTTAGTAAACTATTTTGGCGGCCTTAGTAACCCGCCGGAGGTTATTAGGCTTTAACCCGACAGGAAACCCAGGCCTAGCCTAGCGTCGTCTCTTCGTACACAAAATGTTTGCACAGTTTTCTTTAAAGATTCGACTTGCGGCGGGCCTCCATCACCATGTGAATTTACAAATTAAATGTTATTTATACGGAAACACGAAAATGATAGCCTAGTGATCCCTATCGTAAAGAATCAAGAACAGAACTAAGAATAAATTTACAAAATTGAAACCACAATCGTGAGCCGTCATTGTGAAACCCAGCCGCCGCCGCCTCCTACTCCTACCCCTCGTCGTCGTCGTCGTCGTCGTCGTCGTCGTCGTCGTCGTCGTCGTCGTGTGACACACCCAAATAACAGTCACATAACAATAATTCCGCCATCCCCAGCAGTAGTCCCGGCCCATCCTCCTGAGTGACAGTACTTATAGCAACTATTTGGTCGAACGTACAAAAATGGACTGTTGCAGCCGACAAATTCACCTTTTGTACTTTTAATTTCGTAGAGGGCACGACAAAATAAAGCAAAAAACAAGCTTACACATTTCTAGGCCTTGTATAGAACACATGTACGTACTACAGTAGGCCTAGGATTGCTATATGTTTAACACTTTTCTAACCCTGTCCATGGAGGACAGAAGAAAATGTAAATATGCTCGTTAGCACTGTAAATGTGTTGGCCACGTCTGTGGTAGAAAATAATAATAAAAAAAAAATTGCTGGGACAAGTTAGGTTCTATAGTTATATTTCAAATATTTTTGTATGCCATTTGGGCTTATTCAATAATACAAAACGTGTATTACTGAATACAGAACAGTTGCCATAAATGCTAACATTGTAGCAGATGGGCTGCGATGATGCTCACATTCGCAATGTTCCCAACTGGGCAGTTATATTCCTTCGTCACTTTCGTCACCTTTACCACATAAACTTCACTTTTATCACTTCATTGATTCAATATAAAATAAACGGTCATATTTTTTGTTCCATATTTTTATTTTAGATTTATTCTATGCGTTTTTAAGGTTAGTTTATTATGACGCCGATGCCATCCTGTGGGCCTACAGTCGCATGATGGGTACAGGAACTGAACCCAACTGAACATTAGGCAACGCAAATGGCATCGATGTTCAACAAGTTACATCTCCCAACACGACACACGGTACAACATCCAGAAGCCAGGCAATAAACGTCCAAGAAGAAAGACACCAACACACACGGGCCAGCACCAGACGGACCTCAACCCCACCAACACACACGGGCCAGCACCAGACGGACCTCAACCCCACCAACACACACGGGCCAGCACCAGGCTGACCACAACCCCACCAACACACACGGGCCAGCACCAGACGGACCTCAACCCCACCAACACACACGGGCCAGCACCAGACGGACCTCAACCCCACCAACACACACGGGCCAGCACCAGGCTGACCACAACCCCACCAACACACACGGGCCAGCATCAGGCGGACCTCAACCCCACCAACACACACGGGCCAGCACCAGGCTGACCACAACCCCACCAACACACACGGGCCAGCACCAGGCGGACCTCAACCCCACCAACACACACGGGCCAGCACCAGGCGGACCTCAACCCCACCAACACACACGGGCCAGCATCAGGCGGACCTCAACCCCACCAACACCACTCCCCCACAAACAGCAGCATCTCTATCACTTTACCATCCAGCGTCTGAAGTTGAGGGCGACCCAAGGACCTCTGGGGGTCCCCGAGAACACCAGTCTGCGTCGCTCCTGTCAGAGGAGGATATTTACTTCAACCTGAAGCCCTCTGCCAGAGAATGGTCTCTTGCTGAGTGCCACAAACCTCCAGCCTGCCAGGGCCAGGATTCATAAAAGAATTTAGGCAACCATTTACGAAGCCAGTACATCATTCCTTAATCATGGCGGCTTTGTTTGCAGTATTAAACAGCTTGCTAGATTTTAAACTTCACATCCCAAGTTTATTACTATTATAAACATCCTCGTAATGTTTCCCAGCTCATAAACTGCTCAAACTACATAAAAAAATCTATCATGCTTGAAGGGAGATGAACAGGTTTCGCAAGTTGCTGCGTAAATACTTGATGAATCCTGGCCATGGGTGAACTTGAGACTCACCGCATAGGGACGCGCTGTCTAATAAATATCATCAGAAGAGGGCAGTCAATATACAGTATAGGGAAGACACCTGAACAAGTATAGTATACTTGTTACTTGTATACTTGTTACTTCCCTATACTATACAGTATAGGGAAGACACCTCCCGCCCCAAGAGAGCAGACACAAGTCTCAAGGTGTTACGGGCTATTCATCCCCGTGCCAACTTTTGGGTGGCTTAATCTTTCTCTATCAATCAATCTCAAAGTGAGAGGCAGGGAGAGAGAGAGGTGAACAAGAGGTAAGACGACACAGGGAGGAGGAGGAGGAGGGCGGGACCATGTAGCAGCCATCACTCAGGGACCCGGCGCTACAGGAAGGAGACCAGGCCGGGCACCATCACCATATGCGTCACGTTAGGACAGTTAAGCATGGATGGTGATGCGAGGATGGCGCGGTTGTGGCAGGGCGGGGAAAGGGGGGGGGGGGGGTTGTGATGATGGAGTCCTCTGCTAGAACTCTTTAATCAAAGTGTGAGGTAGGGTGTCTTACCTGACCGCTGGACACAGCCACTCATAATACTCACAGCCAAGCCCAATTCACAAAAATTCAGACCTTGTGTCGTGACTAAATGTCAGGACTGTGAGGTCGTGTACGGGTAACGTTCTTGAGAGGATTATACTCGACTGGTTAATGTTTCAAACTAGACTCCAATTTGATCTTGCCCTGTATGGTTTCCTTTCAGGAAGAAGCACTCAAACTTGCTTTGCTCAATATTTTACTAGGCAGGGGACCAAGCTCTCGTGCGGCATTTATTGATCTCTAAACTTTGGATACAGCAAACAGAGAAATAATCTTAGAACAACTAGCCTCTTT